TGCATCTCTATTCACCGTGATTGAGAACAACAAAAGATAGGTTTCCTTTAAGGGGGCATGACCTATCCATATGTCAATCCAAAATCTCACTCTAGTACCAACTCTTGGGCAGAGTCTAATGTGTTTTCTAAATGAATCAAAGGATGTCGTTAGGGACCTCCACACCCCTGAAGCCTTGGTCCAAGGTCTGGTCTCTGGGATCCAAAACTGGACCAGAGTATTATATTTATTCCGAAGTACCGGAGCCCACAGAGATTCAGTTTGGGTGGCCAAACGCCACCACCATTTCCCTAAAAGGACAATGTTGTGTTTTCTCAAGTTTCTAATTCCTAGCCCCCCTTTGATTTTTGGGTAAAAGAACCTTGTCCCAGGAGATGAGATGAAATTTTCTTTTATCAGCTTGTCCCGACCAGAGGACGTTCCTCATGAGCTGATTCAGGCGGTTAGCCACCGAGGCCGGTATTTGAAATAGGGACATCATATATACTGGTGCATTGGTTAAGAGTAGCTTTGATAAGGGTGGTTCTACTTGCTTGAGACAGATACCTCCCTTCCAACCAGCCAACCTTCTTTTTACCTTATCTAAAACGCGGGACCAGTGGTTCCTTTTAGGTTTTCCAAGTCTTAAGGGAAGGCCCAAGTATGAAGTTGGGAGGTCCTCCACCTTGCATTCCCATTCTGGAATCAGGTCTCCGATACTGTTGGTGGTGATGGCAGTACCCATCATTTTTTATTTCACCATGTTGACCTTGAATCCAATGGCCCACTGGAAACACTTGAGGTAAATTCTGAGGTTTTCCACCTCCAAGGGGGAGATGTCAAGGAAGACTAAGGTGTCGTCTGCATATTGCAAATGCGACACAGTGGGCCCTCTTCTAGAGGACCCAAAGCTAGAAAGAAGATTAGCATGGTAAAGTCGACCGAGAGATCGGCTAAAAACCTCGGCTGAGATTGCAAAAAGGAAGGGGGAAAGTGGATCCCGTTGCCGCAGGCCTCTCAAGGACTGGAAGTACCCATTGGGAGTACCAATGATAAGGATAGAGAAGAATGAGTGAGAAAAACACCCCCTCATCTACTTTCGCCGACGATCTCATTCAAAACCGACTAGTCAACATGGTCATAGGCCTTCTCTCAGTCAGTCTTAAAAATGAGACCGGGTTTTTTGGCTAGGTGTCTCGAGTGAAAGCATTCGTTTGCTATCAAGACCCCATCAAGGATTTATCTACTATTGACAAAGGCTGACTGCGAGGAGGAGATGACCGAAGGCAGGATCTGCAGAAGCCGAGAGGCCAGAACCTTTGAACGAATTTTATAAGAGGAGTTGAGCAAACTTATGGGACGAAAGTCCTTAAGTTCCTCTGCCCCTTCAACCTTAGGGACCAAGGCGATGAACGTAGTGTTGATGGATTTGTTAAGAATCCCTCGCTGAAAAAACTCAGTGAAGAAGCTTAAGAAATCCGACCGAAAAGTTTTCCAAAAGGTCTTAAAGGGGGCTACCGGAAACCCGTCAGGGCCGAGAGCTTTGTCTTTAGCAAGATCATCCAGAGCTTTGAAAATTTGCTCTTCGAGGAAAGGATGCTCTAACCACATGGCCCGTTCATCAGAGAGGGTCAGGAAATCTAGGTCAACCATGGGAAGTTTAGGGCCAGAAGGAGCAGTGTAAAGGTTCTAGAAATAAGTGATGATTGCAGATTCAATCTCTACCGGCTGTTCCAGAAAACATTTGTTAACTTTGATGGTCGAGATTGTATTGACTCTCCTACGACAATTAGCAATCCTATGGGAGAAGCAGGTATTGCGGTCGCCTGTTTTAAGCCAGTTGACCCTAGACCTCTAGTATTGTGAGAGAATAGGATTCCTAGTTTATCTTGGATGTTCTACGATAAGATTTGACTAGTCAAAGTTATAGGTAGATTAGAAGTGGATATGGGTCAATCTTAGGGGATAAGGTTCCTACAGATTCACTCCAAATCATGATGGCTGATCTTGGAAATGAATGGCTTAGATTGATTTTGTCTTTTAGCTTAAATCAACTAAACAATTCTAGATCAAGTTGAACTCCTAATTTGATTAGGACACCCTAGGTCCTAGTAAATAGGGGGGTTCTCCACCTCATTCAAAACACATCTATGTTGTTTCTTCTCCCTCTCTCTCCTCCATGGCCCTCTTTAAACTTCTCTCATCTCTCTCTCTAGTCCTTTCTAGTTCTCTATCTCTAATAGGGCCACGCCACCCTCCATAAGTATCTAGGGTTACATGCCCAAAATCTAGAAGAGAGAAAGAGAGGGGCACGCTAAGCCCTAGGCTTAGGGTTTGAGCCTTTGTGGTTTGTCCTAGTTTTAGAGGGTTTTCTTAGTGAAACCCTAGTTGCTCTCTAGCCCCAAATAAAATTCAGCAAGGGTGTCCCAGAGGTGCTTCCAAAATTCAGATTTGAGAGTTCAACATGATTGGGAATTCAAGCACGCCATTGGTCAGGTGAGCGGGTATGGAGCGTGCTACGCCCTAACGGGGTAAACCAAGGCAAAGGCCAGTAAGTCTTCCTGTATTTATTCAACTTTTATTTGCTGTTGTAGTTGTTTAATTTTGCTTCTTAGAGTCGTCGTATTGTATTCAATTTGAATAAAAGATGGTTTGGCAGTAAGTTTTAAAGATCCTGGACTGTAGTAGGGTCGATTTTATTGTATCTATGGCATATGTAAATAGAATTTCCAGATTATAATAAAAGAAAAAAAAAGGAATTTTTTTAATATATATCTTACATAGCCACCTTTCATTGGTATCAGAGCTAGTCTTCTTGTTGCGATATTGTAGGACTTTTTTTTCTTTTTGAGTCAAGAACATGACAGCAAAGACCTTTATGGTTGAAACTTCTTAAAACTGGGAAGTTTGACTAGAAGAACTATATTAGTTGGAAGAGAAAGTTAGTTATGTCCTCTATGTAGGACTTGGTGAGATGCTCACAGATTCTCCCCAAGTTATCCTAAGAGCCCATGCTTAGAAAAAGACAAGCCACTAGGGATGCTTATGCGCAATGGGAGAGCAACAATACACTAGCTAAGCATCTTCTTTTGATGGCTATGAATGACGCTCATGCACTTGAATATGAAACAACCGAAAGGAGATTCATGAGAAGCTCGAGAAGGACTATGCTACCCCTTCCCTCACAAGAAAGGCACTTGCAATGAAGCATTATTCAGATTTGAAGATGACGGAAGCTGGAAAAATGTCCAAGCATATTCAGCAATTCAGAGCACTGGTCCAAGAACTTGAAGCGGCATAGATAAAGCCTGATGAACGCACATACGACACCTGCTCAACAGTTTGCCAACTTCATGCGAAGCCTTCGCCTCGGCCCTTACTGTGCAGGATAGCATGCTAAAGCAGGATGATATTATCATAAAGCTCAAAGCCGAATAAGATAGGAATGACAGCTGATCCTTTAGGTACCAGAGCCTCTGTGAATCTAGTAAATCTCAAACCCAACTCTAGCTCATTTAAAAAAACGAAAGGAAAAGGCAAGAATAAGAATAAGAAAGATGAAAACCAAAGGGGAAACTAGGCTTAAAAAAGGATGTCAAGAATACAAAGTGTTATAATGGCAATAAGCATGGCACATAGCCAACTATTGCAAGACACCGAATCTCAGTAGTGATAGGGAGCATGCTTGTGTGGTCGTTGAGATAATGTTAGCTGATCCTACAGGGGGATCCTGGTGTTTTGACTCAGGGTCTACTGCCCATGTGTCTAACACCAAGGACAGTTTCAGAAATTTTACGCCTGTTACCACAAGGGACCAGCATATCATTTGGGCTGCAAATCACAACCCTGAAATACATGGTATTGGAAATTACGTCCTTCAATTGGATAAAGGAAAAAGCATGCTAAAAAGCATGTTCCTAAAGCAAACTCTTTATGCTCCTAACATGAGGAAGAGTTTGGTTTCAGTCTCAAAGTTGGCTAAGGCAGGACACTCCACCATCTTCTCTGGCCATGGGTGGAAGTCAAACTAGGCCAGGAATTAGTTATGAATGGTCGTCTTGTAGACTGTTTCTTTACAGTTGCAATAAAAATTGCTTTTTAATGATATTGATAATGCGTACATATGACACACGAAACTAGGGCACATAAATTATGAAAGAACGGAGAGGCTAAAGAGAGAGGGGACTTCCAAATGAAGGAGATTTAATAAAAGTGTGTGAATCATGCATTCAAGGAAAGTAAGCTAAGAAATCCTTTATAAAAGCTCAAAGAGCTACTGGCATTTTAGATGTTGTCCATAGTGATATTTGTGGACGAATATGGCCAATAAGGGCTGCAAGAGGTCCTTCATCACTTTTTTAGATGACCACTCCCGTTTTGGCCATCTTTACCTGATGAGTGAAAAAGAAAAAGCCCTAGACCATTTCACAGAGTACAAAACCGAGGTAGAGACCCAAACAAGCTAGAAACTCAAGTCAAAACTGATAAGAACGCTAAGCATTCCTTGCACTTTTTACCAATGGGAAGAAACCTTGATTAATGAACTTTAACTCAATTAAACAAAACCATGTCTCACCCTACCTCATGATAGAAAACCTATAAGTAGATCTATAAGAAGAAGCTAAATGCGGAAGGGAAGTTGGAAAAATATAAAGACAGATTAGTTGCAAAGGGGTTTACTCCGAAAAAAGTGATTAACTATAACGAGACCTTCTCCTTTGTAGCTACATTTCCATCCATTAGGATCCTGATAGCCATAACAGCCCTTTTCAACTTCGAGCTCCACCAGATGGATGTAAAGATCGTAGTTATAAAATCGGAGTTAGAAAACCTAGCTACCACCGCCTTGACCCAAGCCCAATTCCTCTCAACTACATAAAATTATTACAGGCATCAAGAAAAAAGAGAGAGCTCTTAAACATTTTGAAACTATTATTTACCCAATAAAGAAGAATTCATAATATTAAAAATAATATAACATTCAAACATTATCATGGGTTATAGAAGTTAAAGGAGAATACTTTGAATAAGGATGCACCCTTTGAAATTGAATCCTCCGAGAAATATTTTCCAGTTTTTCCAATCAATATTTCAGCGAAGGACCTTCCTCCAGATATGGACTGCCATAATTTTACACGAAATGGTTAACAAAATAATTAACATATGATGCGGAGCAGTAGTAAAAAGTATGAAAAGCATGCAATAGATTCACAGTCGTAATGCAGAAGTTCTTTTACATTTACTGAATCATAATGAGAAAGTTTATGCACATGAAAAGCATTCCATCCGTACAAAATATTCTTAAAGCATAAAATAAAGGTATATTGGTTAAATGAAAAAAGAAACCCAACTCAATCTACTATGAAGGAAACCATGAAAGTATGCAAATATAATGATCCTTGAACCCTTTAAAAGGAAGAAAGCAGCCAAAAGAAGCCACAAGAGGAGAAACTGCAAAAACAGTAAAGGGCAAGCACATGAAAGGCGATCACACAAGGATAACATCAATAAATGAAGACAATTAGTTTCAATCCTCTGGGGCCTCAATTTAGTAAGCGTATTTCAGGCTGATTTCCAGATCATAAGGTCTGTACACCTGAACAAAGAAGTTAAAAATCAAAGGTTCATTCCTGCCATGAAAGAAATTTTATAGTTTCCATATTCAGATGGCTGGCTTTCGCGACCTTTCTCCTCTTGTCTTAATCTCCATGGACAAGGTTAAAGCCAACACAAATGCAAAAACTTTTAAACCACAGAGGTTGGATCCTGAAAGAACTGGCTATGTAGAACTTAAAGTATTAAATTAAAAAAAAAAAATCTTTTTCTTTTTATTCAATATACTTGAATTCCACTAACATGGGCCACTATATACTGTTGTAAATCAAAATTAATACCCTAGATACAACCTAGGATCCTTCCTTTCACTGCTAAAGCAAATAAAAAACATCTAGGAGCAATAAATACTCTTCCATTATGGTTTTGAGTACAATATATGTTCCTTGAAATTCAAAAACAAATATGAAATATTATTGGAAAATAATTTAGTCTACTGGGAAGATTTACTAGAAGATGTCTGGTACCCTTAAGGTTTTTATACACCCCACACCCGATTCCTTCACCGATGATGGCAAGCTTTCAGCAGTTTAGGTCTCGCTGGAATTTCTGTGATTGAGAAGCTTTTCAGGCGATACCTTTCAATGTAGGGCTTTAGAGAGCTCAAAAACTCAACTAGGGTTTTTCGAAAACCCTATGGTATCAAATTAGAGCAAGATTTGGGTGCTGATCTCTCTCTAACCTATCCAACTCCCTTCTATCTTCAATAATACAGAAAAAACTAATTTTAGGGTTTCACATTCCACCCCCTTATTCTATTTTCTTTTTGGTGGCATGAGAGAATATGAGAGAGAGAGAGAGAGCAAGGTTGGCATGAGAGGAAGCATGAGAGAGAGAGGTAACTTGGCGTGTGAGAGAGAGAGATCTTGGAATGGGAGAGAGAGAACTTGTCATAAGAAATTGAGAGAGGTTCAACATAGTTTTAAATAAAAACAAATCTATGTCCCACTTTGAAAGGGAGTTCTACTAGGTATGCTTTATCTTTATTTTCCAGCTAGACCATTAAAATATTTAGGAAATGTGTGGGGGGAGAGAGATTCAATCTGAGACATCTTTCCCACAAATCAGCCATCATGATTTTGGGTAGAAAATAGGAACTTTATCTCCTTATAATTTGACCGCAGTCCAACTCCCTTTTAAATTTGAATTATAACCACTTTTAGTATTATCTAGATCTTCCATAATCTATAGGAAGTCAAAGATAATCTTCTAAGAACAAAAACTCCCATTTGAATAGGAATCAAATCTATTTCAATTTTAAAAGATTCCCCAATTAACTAAAATTAAACTAAACGCGAAATATTGAAAAAATTAAGGGGGGGGCATGCCACCCAATGGGCATCATGTGGGCCACACAAATCTGCAAGCCCCACACATGGGTGGCATACACATGTGAGGGCTAGATCCTTAGTCCTCTCATGTGCCCTTACAAGTTACGAAAATTTCAAAACTGTCTTCTAATATATTTTAGAGCAAAAATAAAATTTTAAAAATTTTAAAAAAATTGCAAAATGATAGAAACATTCCTAATCATCATCATCATTGCCTTTTCCCAATTAATTGGGGCCGACTACACGAATTCTGACTCGCCATTCTGCTATATTAAAGGCCATACCCTCAGTGAGGCAGTACATCCTTATATCTTTTCAAACTACTTCCAACCACGTCCGTTTGGGCCCTACCCCTTGCCCTTTTCAGTCCTTCCACTTGAACTAACTCGCACCTCCTAACAAGTGTTATACTTGGTCGGTGCCACACATGGCCAGACCACTTAAGTCTACTATCTCTCATCTTATCGCCTATTGGTACCACACCTAAATTCTCCCAAATGGATTCATTTCGAATTCTATTTCTTCTTGTCTTACCACTCATCCATCTCTGCTATACTCATTCTATGAGTATATTGTGCGAGTGTGGCTATGTGAAACTCAAGGTATTAAATTCAAAAACTTTTCTCTTATTTTTATTTCAAATACATGAATTCCACTTACATAGGTCACAATATGTTGCTGGAAAATTAAAACAATGTCCTAGATACAACCTAGGATCTTTATTTTTACTGCCAAGAGAAATAAAAACTATCCAAGAATTTTTAAACTAACTTTTATTACAATTTTTAACACAATATAAGTTCTTGAAAATTTACAGAAAATAGAAAATAGAACAGGAAAAAAAAAAAAAAAAAAAAAAGATAGGGAAGCTTTGTAGGCAATCCTTCTTCCTCTAAGGTTTTAGAGAGCTCAAAAATAAACTAGGGTTTATACAGACCCTATAGGAACAAGTTATAGCTGAGCTTGGGAGTTGATCTCTTTATAGTGGCCTTCTGTGTTCTTCCTTAAAAAATACAATAAACCCTAATCCTAAGGTTTTACGTGCCACATTATTTTTTCTTTCACATAGAGTGGCATGAAAAGAAAAATAGGGGAGAGAGAAGGTGGCGTGAGAGAGATCCCCCACCTTTTGGTGCATGAGAGAGAGGGAGGATCTTTCTCAATTTGGTGCATGAGGGGGGGAGAGAGAGAGAAATCCCCCACAATATGGTGTGTGAGGGGGAGGGGGGGAGAGAGAGAGAGAGAGAGAGAGAGACTTTGGGAGAGAGAAAAGATCTTGTCATCGTCAAATAGGTTCATACTTGGTCATTACATAGAAAGGGAATAGAGAAGAAAGCCATCTTCTCATATTAAATAGGATTTGCCTTATCTAATTTCCAGCTAAACCTTTCAAGATAAATAGAAAATTTGTGGAGCGAGAGATTAATCAAAGCCATCCATCTCAAAAATCAGTCATTATGATTTTGGGTAGAAATATTAAGAACCTTATCCCCATACACTTTGACCCAATCCACTCCTATTTTAAATATAAATCCAATCAAATTTAAAATTTATCTAGATCTCTCATTTAAGTTTGAAATCAAAGATGAATATTATCTAGATCTCCCATAAAATATAGGAAACCAAGTCTAATTTAAAGTCAATAGGATTTTCCATAGTATTTAAATCAAATATTAAATCAATGGGGCGTGCTCCCCTTTCTCTGCATAAAGTGGCGTGGCCCCCTTTGGTTAACAAACAAATTTTAACAACAAAGATGGGGCGTCCCCATATTGCCCTAAAAAGGTCGCGTGGAGCCACATAAGGCTTTAAAAGATAATATCTTGGGGGTGGCGCACACCAAAAAAAAAAAAAGGTGTGCCCCTTAGGGTAAAAAGAAAATTTAAGGTGTGGTCCCTAGGTGGCACGTGGTCCCCCATGTGGTTTAAATTTCTGAAATTTTAAAAAATACCCCTTTATGAAAATTTACAGCAGAGATAATATTCTAAAATTTTAAAAAATATTTAAAAATCAAAAAAACATTTATAATACCAAAATAAAATATACTAGGAATAGACTGGTACCAATGAATCAAAATAAACGACAATAAGGGCAGTCCACTCGCCCTAGAAACCATGATCCATAACTGTTCTCTTATCCAACCCAACAAAGTTCCATGACCCACAATCTCTTTGCAGGGACTCATGATTGGCATATCAAAGTTGGATAATAACTGTGGGACTATAATCTTGGAATGTAGATTTCAGTTCCCCCCTTTTATGAGCAAGTCAAGCACTTGTCAATGCAGTGCAAAAGGGGGCTCTCAATGCACATGTACACATATCCCTTTATAGAGTTGCTTCCCATGTGGTTGTCATGTGTATATGCTCTGCGGAAGTTTGTTGAGGCTTTGTCCATAGCTTTCATAGGCCTACAATCGCACACAGAAGACCACACAGTTCTCTTGACTTGCAAACATGATCCTTAGGCATCTCTCCGATCTCAACAATGACCCACTGCAAACCCTTCTGCGTACTGCCATATGCCCCGAGCCAAGGGTTTTGGACATGTCTAGGGCCATAAACCGCCCAAACCTTGATCAGTCAACATACACACTCCCACTAAAGTGCATATTCCGCTGTACATATCATTTTTAAAAGCTCTTTAGGCCTTTGAAGGCCACAAAAACATTTGCCACCAATCCTTTGGTCAAAGGATCCGCGAACATCGCCACTGTTGGGAGATACGCAATATGAATCTCCTGCTCGGATCTCGTTGCGAGTGTGGTAATAGCACGGCTTTATATATCTTGATTTCGTGTGAAATTTGGGCTCTTTTGTCACATAGATAGTTGCCTAGTTGTCACAGAAGATTCTAACACACAGGCACTTAACTAGATCAAATCTGAGTTGATTCAAGATCTTCTTCAACCATACTGCTTCTATTAGCTGCAAAACAACATGCCATATACTCTAACTCTATAATCAAGAGTATTAATATATCATGTTTCTTTGAGCACCAAGAAACAGCTCCATTTGCAAGCATGAAGATATATCCGGATGTGGACTTACTCTCATTTGAATAGGCCTGATAGTCCGCATCTGAATATCCTTGTATTTGTATGTCCGAGCCTTCTCCGTATGTGAGTGCTTAATTAATGGTTCCCTTTAAATGTTGCAATACTCATTTGATGGACTACTAGTGCTCCATGCCTGGATTATTTTGGAACTTGCTAATCATAACTCATGGCAAAAGATAAAACCGGTCTTGTCCCTGACATACCATACATTGGTGACTCAACTGCACTTCTGTATGAAAATTCTCTGCATGGCTTCTCCAAGGTCCTTCATATCTAAAGTATGTGACAAGAAACCTTTTGTCTCCAATCGAAGTACTAACAATTAATATGTCATCCACATATAAAGAGATGAAAAAACACGCCACTCCCACTGACCTTGACATATATACAATAATCCTCCTAGTTTGAGGTTTCATCTCGGTTTTATAATCTTCGATCCGGTCTAAGGCTTCAAACTTCTCACTTAAAAGATAGACATGGCCAAAATGGGAGTGATCATCTTTTAATGTGATAAAGTACCTCTCGCGGCACTTAGTGGCCCATTCATAGGTCTACAAATATCAATATGGACACCCTATAAAATGGTAGTAGCTCACTGAGCTTTTCAAAACGGATTTCTAAAGAAACTTTTCCTTGAATATTAATCACTTTGGTTAAGTCTTCATTTAGATTACTCAATAATCACTCTCTTTAATCTCTCCATCCTTTTAGGATTTATATGCTCTAGTCTTATGTGCCATATATATACGTCATTGTTATGATTATAACACGAGACTTAAGAAATGGAATTCTTTATTGCAAATGAAAAGAAAATTCTATCAGATGACCACTCATGACTAATTCATCTCCATATTTCACCTCCACCTTCCTACCAATAAAAATGGTGGAGTAGCCTGCCTTTGCCGAATTTTGCGACCGACACCAAACTCTTCCTCATCTCAGAAGTATAAAGAGTTTGCTTTAGGACCATACTTTTGCCATTTTCAAATTGAAGAATAAAATCTCCAATACCCAGAATTTCATTCTTTTGATTTCCACCCATATAGATATACTGATCCCCAAGGGCAACAGGTTGAAATTTTCTATATCCATCCTTGGTGTTTGACACAAGGGCAGTGGACCCTGAGTCAAAACACCATGACCCTACTTTAGGGTCAGCTAGCAAAGTCTCTAGGACTACACAAGCATGCTCCCTATTGCCCTCGAAATTCTCATTCTTGAGTGCTTAGCAATGTGCCCAAATTTCCTATGATTATAGCACTGGGTATTCTTAAAATCCTTCCTTTTCTTAGGCTCATTGTTCCCTTCTTGATTCTCATTCGTTTTGTTCTTATTCTTTCCTTTGTCTTTCTTCTTCTTGAAAGAACCAAAGTTGGGTTTAAGGTTACAACATTTATAGAGTTGTTCAAAGCTGAAGAATCGTGAGAAAATCTCTTTTTTTCTTTGGCTTTAAGTTTAGTGATAATCTCGTCCAACTTCGGCATGCTCTCCCTTACCGTAAGGCCTGAAATGAAGTTTTCCCATAAGCTCGGCATAGAATTCAGATCTGCATGCTTTCATCCAGCTTGACATGTGCGCCCTCGCCCTTGAGTTCATGAACTAAGGCTCTGAACAGCTGTATATGCTCGATAAACTGGCCTCCTTCCTTCATCTTCAAATCTGAATACTGCTTTATAGCCATTGTCTTTCTTGTGAGGGAAGGTGAGACATAATCAGTCTCAAGTCGTTCATGAATCTCCTCTATAGTTTCTAGGTGCTCATACACAAGAGCATGGAGTCATCCACGGGCAGGGCATAAGTAGCACATGTTTTGCTAAAGTATTTTTGCGCTCCCATCGAGTATGAGCCTCTCCTATGGCTTGCCTTTCATAAGCATTACCTCTTGGGACAAGTGGGGTTCTTTAGTAAACATTTGGTTAAGTCCTTCTTCAAATAGGACATGGCCGATTTTTTTCTTCCAACTAAGATAGTTTTTCCCATCAAATTTTTCAGTCTTAATAAATTCAGCCAAGAAACCTTTTGAAGTCATGTTTCTTGGACCAAATAAAAATAAAACTCCTAAACGATGGCAGTACAAAAAATAGAAGCTTTAATACCAATGAAAGGCGTGGCTATGTTGAACTCAAGATATTAAATTCAAAAAAATTTCTTTTACTTTTATTCCAAATACCTCAATTCCACTTACATGGGCTACAATATGTTGCTGAAAAATTAAAACAATGCCTAGATACAACTTATGATCTTTATTTTTACTGTCAAAAGAAATAGAAACTATCCAAGAACTTTAAACTAATTTTTATTGCAATTTTTAATACAATATAAGTTCCTGCAAATGAATAGAAAATAGAAAATAAAACTGAAAATAAATAAAAACTTACTGGAAAATGACTGACTTATCCAACCAGGACTTAGTACACGCCACACCAGATTCCCTGACCAATGGCTCACTTTTTCTCCTTAAGTTGTTGCTGGAAATTCTAAGATAGAGAAGCTTTGTGGGCAATCCTTCTTCATCTAGGGTTTCAGAGAGCTCAAAAATAAACTAGAGTTTATACAAACCCTATGCATTATGATAACTACATGTCAAACAAGTTAGACATATGTTGTTCAGTCCGTAAGTATGTTATTAAATTTAGAACTTCTCAACAAAACCACATCAAATTTCCTGAAGATAGATCTTAGGGTCAGCTTTCTACATCAGATATTTAGTGAATTTAACATGCTAAGTGCTTGAAAAACCATTATGTTCAATGCACCCTTATCCATGATATGTAATGCATTTGAATAGGGAGACCAACCCACAAGTTATAAATATCCTTCAATTCAGAGGCAAGGAAGTTTATTATTCCATATGGGCAAACCCACAAGCGAACTAGGCCTATCTATGCCTTAGGTTCTCTATGGGAGATATGAAGTTGTATTTTCCATGGACAAACCATTGTTGGCCAAGAAGTAAGCATTTGTATACATCCTTCTCTCCTCACATAGATGGTTCAATTATTTCACTAACCGTCACAAAGGAGCCATTAAGCACTATAGAGCAACTTAACTCAAGAAGGCATTATTTTTACCAGTTATTAAAAAATCGGTGATCCAAATCAGAATCGACCGATTCGGTGTGGGAATCGGTTGGACCGATCTAAATCTCATAAAATATCAAGAACTGGCCAATTCCCCCCAAGAATCGGCTTAGTGGATCAGTTCAGCCGGTTCTCTAACAAAACCGCTGATTTTTAATTATGGGAAGCAGCCAGTTTGACCTGGTTCTTGTCAGTTTCAGCCAGCCCCAAAATTGGCTCCCCTTAAATTTTTTTAAATTTCCAATTCAGTAAACCGGATCGCCGAACCGGATCAGAAATCCAAAGGGGTAATCTGGGTCACCAATCCCTTTTTTAAAACCTTGATTTTTATAACACAGTATAAAGGAAACAGGCACCATAGGCTTATATCTTCAGCATTGAAGCAGATACCAACGTGGATTAGAAACATTTATGGGATTCATACAGTAAGAGAGAAAGAGAAACGTGTTTAAGGAGCAAATATTAGTGGATCTCATTCAATACAATGGATGATAATACCAACAGGGCAGGATTTCGAAGCGGGAAGCACAAAGACATGTAATTTTTTAGAGCATGCAGTGAGTTACCTCACATGTCTGCCTTTGAGAAACTATTTCATAATAAAATTAGTGAACTCAAATAATCACTACTCGAAATAAAAATTCTAGAACTTCTTAAGTCTTTAACACAAACAACATAAATGTTTTGAGGAATTATTTAGGGCTGTAAATGGTGCAACAGAATATTACAAAGTCCAAAAGCTGACACTCAAAACAACAGAATCATCTAAGAGTAATATTTCACAAATTTGAACAAGCATGTGGAATTATGCAATTTTCCTCTGCAAAACAAATCCAGAAACATGTTTTGAGGAATTCTTCAGGGCTGTAACTGGTATGACAGAATATTACAAAATCTGAAAGCTGTCACTCAAAACAACAGAATCACGCACAGAGTAATACTTCACAAATTTGAACAAGCATGTGGAATTATGGAATTTTCCTCCTTGAAACAAATCCAAACACATAAGATCACATTCAAAATGATCATAGGAGATCAATTCTAGAACATACATCATTCCCACAGAACTGTTATGCTTTTCAGCAAAACGAGTAAAGCAAAAAATGAATACTCGATAATGAATGCAAAACAACAACAGCGAAGGTTAAACATACCTGGTTGTGGTTCTCAGAATATGAGACCATTTTCTCCATTTTCTGGTTGGAGCTAGTCATAGTCTCAACAATCTGCATAACATACAAGACTTCTTTGTAGCTTCAAAGTATATCTAGGAGTGGAACCCACAATTTAGAAAAAAATACAAATTAAAATTAAGAAAAACCGTTCATCAAATATAAATGTATGCAAAAACCACAATAGCACGGGAAGAACTCATCGAATTTCTGAACTACACAGTATTAAGTTAACTTCACAAGATTACAGTTCAGAGTACGTGATGATACAAAGGCAGCAGATACACGCATTTCTGAGTATCGGCATTGGCAATGTATTTACCGACATTTGGGCTGCAGTAAATTTTACAAAAAGTTCTTTCTATCTACAATAGAATTTGCAAGTGAGAAGGGCTCCAAACACCCTGGGTGCTGGAAACTAGCACAGACACAAAGACACATACACCATGAAAGTAATGGCTCAAATTGACAAAATCATATACAGAGCAATTGTCACCTCCAATTTCCAGGGGCTGACCTTTCACATGGTTTTAGGAAGCCCCTTTTGTCAAATTAATGTCAAATTTTGGGACTAAGGTCATAGCAAAGTGATTTTCTATTCCCACTCACCTACCTAAAACTTTTTTCCCTTTTTTCTCTTTTTTTTTCTTTTTTGGTTCTTGGGTTGAGGAGGCCGGTGGGAGGATAGCATTGAGAAGTCGTGTCAACCCCAACCACCATATGATTACCAATTGAAGGTCATTTTGTTGCTGGAGAAACAAGTTACCATTAACCCACCAAATCGCCATGTGCCCCTCATCCACCCAAAAAAAAAAGAAAAAAAAAAGGCAAAAAACAGAACCTTTTTAATTTGCGGAGAAGGGTAATGGATTAGAACCATACTATTATCTAAGAAACAACGATTCATCATGATTCATTCCCAATGGAGACCTTGAAAGAAAGAGGGGATATATTGAACTAAAGAAAAGTGATGTCCCTCAACAGTAAGAAAGAGAACACTTTACCATAACACTCCATTAATCTTAGAGTAAATAAAAATGGAACCTAAATTACCTAATACCCACCCTTCATCTAATAGAAAGAAATAATTAAACAAAAAAGAAAAGAAATGGAAGTTGTATGTTCTGGGAAGAAAAGGATTTGATACCTTGTGCATACTCCATTCGCACTCAGGGACATTCTCTACCAACCAAGACCACATTTCTGATATTGTCGTATTGGCATAGTAATCAAATCCCAATCCACCTTGAGTAGTTGGCTCACATAGTCCAGGGTAGAATGTAGCCTGCACTGGCCAACTCAATCAAAAGAGTACAAGACAAGTATGTGAAATCAAAGAAACTAATATACGACTTTGTGAAGCATCAGCCACTGAAAACATTTAGCTGAAATTTATATGGTATTGCTCATAATAAAAAACTCACGCATCAAATAAACAAGAAGTCAATTGCATGTTTAGCATAGATTTGAAATTTAATTGGCAATCCATTTTCAACTTCAAGAAAATATATGAAAAATTATTGATAGTAGTATTATGGAAAGATACCCAAAAAATATGCAAGTTATAATCATATCTTATAAAACATGTAAATATGCTGGTAATTGAAAGGAGTGGCCGTACAGAACTCAAGGTAGTAAATTCAAAAATTTTCTTTTCTTCAATTCAATATATCTGAATTCTACTTATATGGGTTGTAAATCAAAATTAAAACCCTAAATACAACTTACAATCCTTACTTTTACTGCCAAAATAAATAAAAACATCCAAGAGCTATAAACAATCTTCCACTATAGTTTTGAATATAAAAAATGTTCCTGGAAATTCACAGAAAAATAGAAAACATGACTGAAAAATAATTAAATCAATTGGGAAGATCTACTAGATGATGCCTGGAGTCACCCTCACAGGGCTTGTTACACTCCACACCCGATTCCCTGATTGATGGCACACTTTTAATCCGTTAGGTCTTGCTGGAATTTCTGAGATAAGGAAGCTTTATAGGCAATACCTTTCAATATAGGGTTTTAGAGAGGTCAAAAACTCAACTAAGGTTTTGGATATAACCAGAGCCATAAACCGCCCAACCCATGGTCAATCAACAAATACACTCCCACTGAAGTGCATACTCCACTATAAAGTATTCATGTTTACAAGCACTCTAGGCCTTACAAGGCCACAAAACCCAACATCTCCCACTTGGCCTTTGAACGATGTACAATCACTCCCTCTCAATTTCTCTCAAGCCCATCCCATGTACATGTTTGACAAAAACATTTGCCACCAATCCTTTCATCAAAGGATCTGCTAACATAGCCTCTGTCAGGAGATAAGCCATCCGAATCTCTCCTGCGTGGATCTCGTTGCAAATGCGGTAGTAGAACACTTTATATGCCTTGATTTCTTGTGATACCTGGGCTCTTTTGACACACAAATAGCTGTCTGGTTCTCGCAAAAGATTCAAACACATGGGCACTTCACTGGATCAAATCTGAGTTGATTTAGGACAATTTACAAACCAGACTTCTTCTTTAGCCATGAGATAACAGGCCACATACTCTGACTCCAAAGTCAAGAGTGCAACAATATCTTGTTTCTTTGATCACCAAGAAATAGCTCCACCTGCAAGTGTGAAGATATATTTGGATGTGGACTTCATCTCATCCAGATTGCCATGATAGTTCGCATCTGAATATCCTTGTATCTCTATATTCGAGCCTCCTTCATAAGTGGCACACCCCACTTATCCTTCGTGACAAGAAAGCTTTTGTCTCCAATATGAGACTCATCAAACAATTGGCAATTAACATATCATCCACATATAGAGAGATGAAAACGTCACTCCCACTGACCATGATATATACATATATATATATATATATATATATATATATATATATATATATATAGTATATACTACTACTCGTACGTACGACGAACCTAAACAACACGTACTTAGTACGTAACGTACGTAACTTAAACTTAAACTTAATACTACTACCGTACGTCGT